TATAATTTTACTTAATTTTTTTAGAAGTATATTTGTTGTCAGTTTTATCTCATTATTAGATAGCTTAATAATACTTAAAGTTAAGTATTAGAGATAATTAATATTACTAGTTTTTGATCTTAACTATTAAATTAGAAAATAAAAAACAGTAACTTATTCTAATATAAACAGAGATATGTTTAAGAAAATAACGTTATTACTAAAAGTTCAATATATTTTCAGGGGTTTTTTCCTCACTATTCTTATGTGAAAAGCCATATATCCGAAAGCTCTTAAACAGGACAGTTCGGAGTAATATCCCCTACTTAAATTTGCATAATGTTTTTGAATCCGCAAAGTTAACTCTACATCGGCAACAATCACTACTAAGTATACCAAGCTTTGATCGGTGTGTAAATGAGTAATGACACATCGTTACTGCAAAGAATGTGTAAACCGACATATAATGAGATCGCACATCCATCATGTTATAAATTATGTTTCCTATTAGTATAGTAATATTATTATAACACTTTACTATACGCTTATGGCCATTAGGTATATAATAATGATAAACACGTACTTACCATTTCAAAGTAAAATGTTATACATGATTACACCTACTAAACATGAGTTAAGTCAACTTGGCAACTATTTTCAAAAATTTCATATCTTTAAACAAATCCTCTTGTTATGTTGTATATAGATAAAGTACCAAACGTGAAAAATTGAGGAAACGTTGTCAAAGTTATAAAGCTAACGATAAGGATTTGGTTCAACGCAATTTAAATTTTTAAAGGATTTCAATTCATCCAAACACCTTATATTTTATATTGTATACCCTAAAGAAACATTTAACCTATTAATTATTTTAACAAAAACACAGCCTTTTATACGAAGCTAAAAAAGTGTACATTCTAAAAATTAGAAGTTAAAATAAAGTTTTTAAAAAATCCCTTTAAAGTGATGCTGGAATGATTTTTATTATTAGATTACCAAAAATGTAACTACTGAAAAAAAACCATTGATAAGATAGATATTTATTTAGTAATAAAACTGAAATTTGAGAATAACTTCAGATGTGATAGCAACAAATCTGTGAAAACATAATCTACAAAAATACTTAAACAACTATGAGACATAGATTTTTAAATAAAACTAGTCTAGCAATATATTTTAAAACAAATGTAAATTTTAAAAATTCCTATTTCATTTACCATCTATTTTATGGTTAATTGTTTATGTTAATTATAAGTAAATATTCCAATCTAATTACACTTAAAAAAATAATTAAAGTGTAGTAGTAAGTACCTTAAAGCAAAACAAAAAAAAATTATATTGAAGTTTTAAAATAAATGTGTTAAAATGTTTAACTAATCAATGAATTATTTTTAAATTTAACCAATAATTTCTTACCTAAAATTAAAGTCTGCTATAATAACTATATACTAACGCAAAAGTGTTTGATTATCTAAAATTGTCTACATCAAGAGTATCAATTTGGTCATAGTCTTTTATTTTAGTAGAAACACACGGACAATTTTTTTGTATTTTTTAAACTTAATAAATTATTTAAAAATTCTATTTGGATTCTCTGTACTGCAAAAGGCTCAACAATTACAATAATACATCAACTTAGCGAACCGTGTACCGATTACAATTATTATTATAATTACAGTGGCAGTAAATCATAACATTTCTGGTAGTTAAATGTCTTGTCCGGGTTTTATAAGGTCGTAGTGGGTGTTTGCGCACGAATTTGATAACTAGTGAAAACAAGTAGAGCTCATATCCTGATCATAATCTTCCTCTCTTACCCAAAGATACATTTAGAATTTACACATTATATCTTTGTTAATTATAGGCATATTATCTGGAAGATTTGTGAACAATAGCTTATTTTATTAAAGAAATAAATGTTTTTGTTTTATTCATCGATCATTAACAATAGCATCATGTTTTTGCATTACAGATTTCTAAATGCATGAATAAGAATAGTATAATAACCACCAAGTATCTTACTAAAGTATTATAAATAACATTATTATTTGAGTAACATTTACCAAGAACATATCTGAATTATAACGATTTCTTGAACAGGAATGTAGTGATTATAAACTATTTTATATAATAAAAAACGGTAGCACAGTAGGGTTTTATTATTTAATACATTAATATTTTTAAATATATTTAATATATTAATAAATTAACTACTATAGTAAAATGAAATTTAATATTGCTATCAATAATTTTTTATTTTTTGTTTGTTTATATATATTGGAATTAAATTAAAACGCGAAAGAAATAAGAATCAAATTCAAATTGTATGTACATTATGGAAAAAGTAGTTGGTTATTACTAATAAGTAATTTTATGAGATGATGGGCCTCAAACCCTGATTTTTACCTATAAGATGGTTGAGCTAATTTTAATTTAAAACTTCTAATCATTTAATAGTTTGATTCTTTTTTCTTCTGTTAAAATTTTAGATTCACAATACATACCCACAAAAGTTACACAAAAAGTAATTTATTTTGTTATTTGATATTCATAAAAATATTTTTCTATTAAATTGAATAATATTTTTACTATTTATATTTAAATTTGTTAATTATTATTGAAATAAAGAGTAAATTTAAAATCTAAAAAAACTATTTTTTTATTATTAACATCAACAATAGATTTATTTATGTGTTAAATTAGGTATACAAATACAATGTCGATATTATCAATGATTAATGTTTAGTGCATTCAGTGAGAAAAATAGATCTTTCTCATATATTTCAAAATTCTCTTGCATACAATTACAGGTCTATTCTTGAATGAATATTATTCTAAAAACTGACATATTATGTATAATCTAGTCTCATTTATTTAAAATTTTACTCATTGTGTCAACGCTATTTCCTGTGATCACAGTAAATCTTGTACGCGAAATCGAAAATTGTGAAACAGTTTATATAATTTACAAAGGTATTTTATTTCATTTTAAAATGAGTAAATCAAGTGTTATTTGGGATTTTTTTCAATTTGAAGCAGATAATATTCATGTAAATTGTGAACTTTGTCGTATAAAATTAAAAAATAATCATTCTTCGACTTCAAATTTAATTAGACATATTAAATCTAAGTATCCATTAAATTTATTAAATAGAAAGACTCATGTAATAGAAGTGACGATTGATGACCTAAATATTGCTCCATCAACTTCTACTTCTGTAAGTTAAATCTATATATCACAAATCACATGATTCAGAGTTTATTGATAAGACGTTATAAACTAAGTTCAATTCTCAGTAATCTACACTGAGTCATAGAATCACCGTACTATGGCACACTTTTTCAGCTCGTTCAGTTCAACAGAAAGAGTCAACTCTTTGAGTTGACTCACTTACGAATTACCCATCCCTAACTCCTATTCCCTTATTTAAATCCTAATTACTAGTATGATATATAAATGTAATATATGAATAATTCTTTAATAAATTTAAATTTATTTATTAAATATTTAATAAATTTGTTCAGCTTCGACGGCCATTTGTACATAGAAGATAGGTCGTCAGTACAAACTTTTTTTTAACTTCGATGCGAACCTGAGATGGTTTTAATTTTACTATGATGTGTTTTTTTTGTGTCTGTTACTACTTATTCTCAGCTCTCACTGATCCGATTTTGATGAACAATACTTCAAAATATCACAAATCGTATCTAGTCGAACACATTACCTTCAAAAATTGAAAAAATGTCTCTCGTTCCACATAAATGGAGGAAATCCCCTAAAAATTACAAATTTAAATATAAATCGGTAATTTTCGATATTTTTTCAATTTTTTTTTACTTAAAACTGCAATAACTTTTTTGGAAAATAGATGAATAGAACCAAATTTTTTTATATAAACATTAGGTAATTATCTTTCATTTATTATATACTTTTTGAAAATCTTACCTTTTACCTGCCCACAGAGAGAGATTCAAAACAATAATTTTTTTTAAAAAAAGTAAATTTTGAAAATATTCCGGACATACTGACACTTTCATACATATCTTAAATTAAAGCTTATATACTATACCTTAATATGAAAAAAGAAATTTCGAACTTTAGTTTGTCTTTATGGTGCAAATGACTACAAAAATATGTTATTTTTGTGTTAAAATTCTCAGTTTTGAAACATATTCAAAAGTTAAAAAAATGGATTTATTGAAACCGTTGCTATTTTGATTTTCAAAAAATTTATATAAAATGAAAAAGATACGCAAGATTTCTATATATGTGAAAAATTATTTTGATTCATTAATTTTTAATAAAGTTACGGTAGTTTAAAAAAAAACACATCATAATAAAATTAATGCCTTTACTCACCTTCACATCGAAGCTAAACAAAGCATTTATACTAAAAGCGCAATTTCACTAATGCTAAATGCTTTAACTCGCACACCATAGACGTAGCTTAAATAATATGTCTGTGGGTTATGATAAAAATATCACCCCATTTATAACATGAATATTATAATTAATACTTATAATATATAATTTTCGAAATATTTTTTACAATTATGAATTGGTTAGTAGTTACTTTTTTGATTAGTAATTTTTTTTAACATAAGAATTTTTCAAATATTTTCAAAAATTAAAAAAATTTATAAAATCATATTTTGATTTCAAAAATGTTTATTATTTTATTATACTTGTCTAAAGTTTATTTTTTATGTTTGGTTTATGAAATACTACTAATAAGGATACATTTGAATTAAATAACAAGAGTCAATAAGTTTTAATTAATAAGATATTAATTACAAAAATTAAATGATATTTTGACTAGAATATAAAGTTTTTAATTACAGTTAATGACTAGTAATGACACATGAAAATAGTACTTTGTTTAAACAAACAATTTTTTAATTTTAAATCACAAGTTCTATTAGAATTTACAATGAACTTATAAACCTTATTAACTTATAAAGAAGTATAATGCATTTTTTTTTTATTAAATTAATAAAAATAGTATAAAATATTTTTGAATTCAAAAGTTTTTATACATATTAGATTTTGTAGACTTTTCTAAATCAAAACTATATATTTGACACAATAAAATAATTCCATATCATTTCTTTTTTATTGTTAATCAAATACCTAAAACAAAATTTTTCAAATAAATTTTATGTAACTGATTAGCATATTTTATAAAAATTAAAATCTGAAAATAAAGATAGACATATGAAAAATACAGTGTTATCCGTTTATCGTGATCCACATGACTTATAAAATAAAAAAAATAAAAAATATTTTTTTAGAGGGTATTTTTACTTACATATATTTATTGATTTATCAATTATTAAGTACTTTTTCAATTTAACCTTATACCTTATATGGGTAATATTAATAAATACCCAAGATAACAGATAAATAAACACAAAAGGGACAAAGGAATTAATTTTTTCAAACTAATTTATAGAGATTTTTTGAGTAGTAAATACATGTACCAACCAGGCAAAAATGTGTACTGACCAAATACCAAAAAAAAGCGCAATAGCTAAATTTTCAACATAAATGAAATAAATAAACATTAAATATTTAACATTCCCTCCTCCTTTAAGTTAAAATCAAAATATAGGTGGTAGGATGACCCTCCTTATAATAAGATTTCATTCCCCTAAAAATTTGTCTACCCTATAAATGTATACAAATCCATTATAAATCAATTCTGATAATTTTAGTTTGGTGCACTGTCTTTTTCTATAAATAATTTTTGAGATTTCCAAAAAGTATAATAACTATAATAGTTTATCTACTCAATGATTTAAATTTAAACTATTGTAAATATGATAATAACAAATAATTATATAAAATATACAAATAATATAAAAAAATATTTTTATATGACATATACTAGCATATCAAGTACTGAGTAGTAGCTAAAAGCAGATGTGCACCTGGCACATCTCTTATAATTCATAAATTTTACATAATAATAATACCTTTTAATATTTTAACTCTCTTAATGAGTTTTTTCTTTATTTTTTGTCTTAGACTTTTCACTTATTTCAGAAAATTTTTTTTTTTCTAATAATTTACACTGGTTAAATACATTATTTAAATCAAATGCAGCTCTAAAATTTGCCTAGAAAATTTAAAGCAGTTGTATGAAAATTTATTTATTTAAAATAAAGTGTTATTTAAAGTCTTACTTCAGTAAAAAAAAATTTGTAAACTTTTCCTTTAGAATCAAATGTTGGACGTCTAAGAACCTCTTTGCCATTCTTGAATAAAATAACAGTTGGAAGTTGACGACTTAGTGATGAATCACTTACACTATATTTTTGACTAACATCTGGATATCTACTAATATCTATTTTACCAAATTTAAGATTTTTTGAATCATACCTAAAATAAACAATACATAAGATATAAAAAATGTTGAATTTTTATTTATTAAAAAATAAAGAGGTTGATAATTATTTGGTAGATAAACTGAATATTGAAATCTTACTAGATTGTATTTTTTTAACTTCTTATCTGATGTCATTAACATTAACATTGATTATAATCAAAAAACAAAAATATCCCTTATTTTTTGCTGTAAACAATTTCTAGCGAGATATAAGCAGACAATATAAAATTTAAACTACTGTTAATATCCAATATCTTACTCAACAGATAATTTTGAAAATATTGGAGCAAAGTGAGCACAAGTAGGATTCCAAACTGTATAAAAACATATTAGCCAAACTGTTTGTTGTTTATTTTCCTTTAATGCATCTTCTAAACTTGATAATGATCTGAAGTATATAACATTTTCAGGCCCTGAATATGTTGGTTCTGGTAAAATGAAACTTAAAACTTAAAGAAAAAGCACAAAATAAATTACTATTAAAAATTGTATAACTTTGTATTATTTATTACACACCAATAACAAACGCAGTGAAAAATAATCCATAACGAACATCAGCATAAAACCATAGTAGTATATTAGCACTCTTAGAGTAAATAAAACTAGAAGATAAATAATTAATCATTGTAACACTGCCAGCTTTTCTGGTTCGTATCATCACAACAATCATAAGAAAAATCAAAATTTCTAATTCCCTCTAAAAATATTTTTAATAGTTCTGTATTCTTTTTTTATTATTTAGAAGATTATAAGACTTATTACATACAAATAGCATAAATTAATTAAATATTAAAAATATAACTTACAGTATCTAGTTGACATGAATTTTCATTTTGAACAAAAAGAATATTACATATAATTTCACATTTTTTACAAAATACGTATGAACATGTCAATATAATATTAACCCAATAATACGGTTTCAATAAAATTAGTAGTTCTTTTTTTTGCACAATCATTTTTCTACAGTTTGCTGAATATCGAGTTAATTTGTCTATTAGTACAATAGTTGTTCCTAATAAGTATGTATGTATCATAAATTTATGTAATTGTTGAACAATTAAATAAATGCAGTTTAATATAGGTACTTCATGGTCAAAAATGAGAGACCAGAGCAAGGAAAACTATAAAAATACTTCACCAGAAAAATATTTTTGTAGATAATTATGAATGCCAAGCTCTTATCATTTGAAAGTCTACTACCGCCATCTACAGATATTTTAATCATTATGCGCCATTAATATGGTCGTTACCATAATCTATGTGGTATGAACACGTTCTTATACATTAACCAAAATGTTACCACACGTAACATAATTTCATAACAACAAATATCAATAATCTCATCGCTTTCCTCAACTAGTCATTAATCGTTCTTTTGCAATCAATCCTATACGCTTGCTAATTTTTTTAATAAAACTATTAATGTCTGTTTTTAATTTATTATGAAGTTAAATTTGTTTGTTATTGATTTTGTGAGTTTTTATCTAACAACCTAAATCGTTTGTATTATATTAATTTTTCTATGCAATAAATCAAACGTTCCACGATGGCTTCTGCCTTTGCCGAAAACAAACCAAACTTTGTTAAAGGAATAGGATGGTAAGCTTTTATATAGTAATGTTATAATTATATAGTTTTATTTGTATTAAATTAAATACAATGATATTAAATTTGTTATTATGTGTATAATAAACTAAATTTTTTGAAGCCGAAAAACGATGTTGAGACATATCCCTATACTATTTATGTTTATAAAGTTCATATAATTTTTTTCAATTATAAAATTTAGAGCTACCTTTTAACTAAGTAAACCCTTCAATTTAATTATTATATTTTATAGAATTGTAATTTAAACAAATTATAAATATAATAAAATTTGTGTTATGTCCCCATTCATGTAAAGTAAATTTAACATATTGCATCATTTTATTTACATGGAACACTTCTAACTGAGCAATGGTGTATGTTCATACACAGGATGAATTTTTAAAAATAAGACACATTTTATGTAAAGAGAAAAATGATTTAATTTAAAAAAGTTCTGTAATTTTATGAAGTTAAATAACTTTTTTTTATCCCTTTATGGATAAAAACTATACATTTAATTTTCTCAAATGAAAACCTCTATTGTTAACTTAGTATAATAAAAAAAAATTACAATTTTTTTTTTATCTGGTGGACCATTTATCCACACATTTATATATCTAAATCATTTTAAATATATACATAGAATAGCTTGTGAAATTTCAAAAAAAAATAAACCATAATATTTATATTTTTTTTAATTAGAAAATATACTTTTAGTTACCGATAACAAATTGAATCAGGATTTTTAAAGACACTAGCACTTTTATACTTTGGTGGAAAGAGTAGTGCGGGTCATAAATCCCTAAAGATAAAAGTAAACAGACCCCTTTATTCATTTAATAAAAGAATTAATTACTTTCAAAATTCTAGTACAAAATTTGTTATCGACCAGTCATTTTCTTAATTTAAAGTTAGTTAAACATATATGCTTCCATTTATACAACTTAAATTGATACTATTTTAAAATGGTAAAAGGTGGGATAGGATTTAATTTTTTTTTTACAAATTATAGAACATAAGAGGATATTATTAATTTCTGAAAAGAAAAAATAATAAATTTTTTAAGATATTGTGTGAATCTTGGTCAAATAATCATCCAGTACATTAGTATATGTATACCAGTAATTTGTTTTTATTGTGTGGTCTCTCAAGGTGGCTTGGTAGCAGCCTTTAATTGAAATATCCAATGATACATAGTACATGAATGGTCTTGTATTCAAAAATCCATCTACTAAGGTTAGGAGACACGGTATGTAATACTGCTTAATTATCCACTCGGTAACGAAAAGCAACAGTGCAACTAAACATCAGTGCTAAGACACCAACTGAGTGATTTACAAGCCACATCACCATCCTTTCTTCTCAAAAAAAAAAAACATTATTAACACATTATAATTTCACATTAAAACTATACAATTAGTGAAATCTTAAATAATTACAAAATGCCTAATGGAAATAACTTAATTTATTACACTATAATTGTCAAAATAATCATGTGTCTTTAGTTTATTATTAATAATTTTTTTTCTTCATTATTGACTAATATAACTTATGTATTTATAGTTTCATTAGTGATTTATCTTATCGAGAGGCTATTGAAAACTCAGTAAATTATAATACTCGATTATGTATAGAACGCAGAATGAGAATGCCATTTTTAGATACCCAAACTGGTAAGTATATTTTTTTATTAAATATTATTGAATTATATATTATGAATTTTTCTAGGCGTGGCACAAACACATTCAAGTCTTTTAATGCATGAACGACAACGAATGCCTGGACTTAATTCTGGACAAGTATATACGTATCCTTCTAAAAGATGGAGAAAAAAAAGAAGGCAATATTTGTTAAATTCTTGTAATAATAATTCAATTAGTTCATCTATTTTTAATTCTTCAAAACGTAAAGAATCAGGTGAGTTTAAATTGTCTAATAACTTAATATGTAATTTTATGTCATATATAGAAATAATCTTAAATAATGTAATTTTTATCATTGTTACTAGTTCTTAATAGTGGAGGAGAATCGGGTGATACAAGTTCATTTAATATTGATTTACATACTGGTGATAGTCAAAATGCTATATCTAATAATGAAGATAGCAAAGACAGTCTTGGAACTAATACAAATTTATCTAAAGATGATCAAACCAATCAAAATAGTTCAAATAATAAAGTTTCAGTATGTACATAGTCGAATACACTACTTATTTTTGGCTAATAAACTTATATGTTTACTTTTTCATAAATTTTTTATAAAAGTGACTGATACTTATTATTTAAAAAAAAATAATAATAATTTTCATGTCAGATTTCAAAAATTTTCTTATGATATTTGAAAATAAATATCTGTATAATACTTAGATATTTAATGTATTATATTATACAAAAAAAAAAAAAAATTATTTAAGAATATCATTCTTAATCAGTATAAAAACTAAATTCATTAAAGAAAAAAATTGAAAAAAAATCGATGGGGTGGTTTAATGCCATAATTGTACATAATAATACTTTTAATGCAAGAGAAACCTTGTGATATTTTTATTATTTCTGTTAAATAGTGTTATCTTAAAAATTTGTTATAATCAGACTAAGATATGTTACTGTACAACTAGATATAAATATTTTTAAAAATATTAATAACCTGTCTTCCAAAATCTATAATCTACTGAGACATATTTCAAAAATTATTACAACTTCAATTATTAAGTGTTCAAATAATTAACTGCTTAGATTTCTAAACAGTTTATTGTCTTAATATACTTATTTATTTATTATTATTTGTTAATTGAATTTGAAATTAAATTTTAGGACCAATGGTATTATGATGAATTTGAAATGCAAGAAATGGAAGGTTTTGAAGAGCCTGATGCAGATTCAGACTATGATTATGAAGAAAGTTATACTAAACGAAAAAAACGAAAAGGTAGTAAACCTGGTCGAAGTAATACTAACAATGAAGGAACAAGTGGCCGTCGTAGTGTTAAAGTAATTTTAAAACTGTTTAAAATATTCTTCTATAGTAACAAGTATTTATTTTTATATCTTAAGGGCTCAGCATCTGGACGAGGAAGAAAAAAAGGAATGAGTGGATTTATTGATCTTCAAGACCCTGATAAACCTTATGCTTGTGACCGTAAGTACATTTCAAATGTTTTATGTAATATTTATTGTGTAATAGTCTTAAAAATTTTCAAAGAATTTGAAATTGTATCTAATATTGCTTAAAGATTGTAAAATACTGATAAAATTTTGCAACTTGTTTAGACTGCATTGTTGTCTTAGTTACTTATATTTTAATTACCTAAGTTACGTTATATGAGGATACTTTACCTGAATGCATGTTGTGCCAAACACAATAAAGTTCTCTTTAAAATTATTACAATTTATTTTAAAATAATGAATGATAGGTAGGTATACTTAAAACTTATTTGTATAATGGCAAAAAAAATTAAATATTGATAACAAAAATGATACGAGTAATAAATACTTATATATATAGATACATACATATGTATTAATAAATTAAAAATAAAATCTATACTATTTCTTTAAGTTAGTACTTACATAATTTTAGACTTTCTTTTATATTTTTATGTATAATTTAAAGTCAAAAAGAAATGTTGAATAATTTTTCAATTACATAGAATTTTGTTTTAAATTAAAATTAATGTTTATTTTATATATGCTACTCTTCAACTTTTTAGCAGAATTGTATGTATATATATATTTACGTTAATTTGTTTTATCGTTTTGTTATTTGTTATCCTGCGGTTATTGCCCCGCTAGTATTTTAGTTAAAATTTTATTGCGTTTGAGTGTTATTGTTTGTCGTGATCATTATGCCGGCTGTATGAGGGTGTTAGCGTATGCTAATGTTTCAGTATGTGGAGCTCGTTACAAGACCCGTCCAGGTCTAACTTATCATTACACCCATTCACACAAGGATAAACCTGCTGACAATGTACCTGCAGTAGATGAAGAAGCCAGTCAAGAGGGAGGTTTAATATCAAACCCTGTGTCTCCACAAACAAATCAATATGATCATCAACAAACTACAACAGGTTGGACCAAATTCCAGGACAGTTATGTCACTTTTCTTAATACCCCTGGTAATCACTAAAATGCTTATAGTATAAACCACTTCTGGCTGCACGCACTATATGCTCTTGCTTATTAATATGAAATAATTTAGGGACTTGGTTTTTTATTTTAACGAGTACTTGATTTTTCTATAAATACTAATGGTGCATTATGAGTTCATAACTTCATTTTCTTTATGAATTAATAATTTTTAAATTAAATTCACATCAAAGTATAAAAAATAAATCTATATACATAAATTTTATTTGGTATCTTGTATATGTGTATCTTGATGACCATTAATGAAGCTAGAAAAATTTTACTATCAAAAAAATTATTTTGTTATGTAAAGTATTTAAATTTTAATGAATAAACCTTTATTATTGAACTAATTAGTATAAAAGTTTATTTTAATTTATTAGAATTTGTATTTTTATTTGTTATTCAGTTTTAATATTTGATATTTTTTATAAAATTATTATTTTAAAACTATTACTCAAAATATTTTGTTTAAATTTTAACATTCATTAAATAAAAAGTAACAAATAAAACTCGTCTCCTTTTGTTTTTTTTTATTTGCTTGTGAGACGTTGAGATTATGCTTTATTTCACATTGAAAAAAAATGTGGATGTTAATTGTTGTTCATTGATTTAAGAGATATTTTTAAGTATTTACTCATCTTAAAGGATAATTATTTAAAGAATATTATTTTCTTATTTTTTGATTTATATTTTTTATTTCCATATTTTGATATACTAAATAAAAAATCATACTTTCTTATGACTTTTTTATAATACTATAATAAATTATAAAATGTTTATCCTTTAATTTCATCACTATTAATATTTTAACAATAGTCCAATTCATTATTAACATCTACTTAGCTAGTTTTACTAACTATTCTGTAAATATGTAGAATAATATAGAACAATATTGACTCTTGAAATATTTTCCAAAAAAAATTATTATACTAATTAAAAATTAGATTGAATGAATACAGTAAAATTAAAAAGTCTTCTTAAACTTTTTTATTCATAAAAAATCATTGTGATAAGTTAATTTGTTATTAAAAATATTGAAGTACAGAATGTATTGTTTTATATATTTTTTTTTAGTGTTATGATCCTAATTAGGAGAAAGTTTTGACACAAACATTTTCATGTTAACTATCAAAATTATCCTAAAAGATGAGGTTTTTTTTAAATATTATGTATTCATAATATTTTTTTTTAATTAAAATTAAATACTAGTAGTAGTAAGTTTTTAATTAGTAACAACATAATATTTAATATAATTCATAATAGTTGAATTAATTTAACATATATTTACTATTCAAATACTCTTAAGAGCTTATGCTTTGCATGAAATGTCTATCTAGTTTTTTACCAGTGGGTATTGACAATTTTTCTCATACAATATGTATATGAAGTATGTTTTGTGTTTAGAACTTGGCCTTTATGAATGGTTTTAATTTTATTTAATAGAAAGTAAATATTTAATTATACATTCATTAAATATATCAAGCTTTTATAATAATTTAAAAAATTTTAGTGCACTAAAGATTATATTAGTTTTATTTAGTAATTATTTTTAATTGTTATTCTATACATTGAGATGCTTATAAAATTATTATTGTTAAAACTTAATTATAATATGTAATAATTTTTTTTTTTTTTTTTTTGCATGAAACACTTGGAAAAAAAATTATTTTTATTTAAGTTTATTCACATTAATAGTTAGATTTTTTAAGTTGTATATTGTTAGTAAATTTACTTTTTGGTAACTTAAAAAAAAAATATTTTGAGTTTAAATTAAAATTTTTAATGTTTAATTAGTTAAATATTTATTTTTGTTTAGAAGATTGATATAATTGATCAATGATATAATTTAATCAATGCTAAACATAACATGACATATGTTTGTTGAATTTAGTTATATATACATTTATTTATATATAATTTTTATTTTACTGAGTCATTTTTACATTTAGAATTCTAGTCACTTGTTTTCAACACAGTATATTGTTTGATAATAAAATTCTTTTCAACTATTATATTAAATAATTGTTAAATAGTTGAAACATAAGTAGTTTTTTACTGTATTTTTTTTAAATAGTTTTTCGCTTATTAACAATATAATAAAAACAGTATACATATTATTGAGGGGTACACGGAATTTTAAGTATTAATTTGTAGCTAAATTTATAAAAAAAAAATCTAAATTTATGGTGTTTAAAAATTATAATTATTATGAAAAATATTTAAATAATTTAATATGTTATAATTATAATTTTTTTTTTTTTTCATCTTCTTTGTACCTCTCATTTATATGCAGAGCTGGGCATGATATTTTTTCAAATAAATATGGCTTCAAATCCATGAACATGTTGGTTTTTGTTTTAAGTTCTTTAAATAAATTTTCTTCAAAGGGAATTGGAAATTTACAATAATTAATCATTTTTTATCAATCATGTTTGAAGTCTGTGTATTTTTAATTTAAATATGCTTGATTTGTGGCTTTTATTTAAACCTCTGTCTATGAATGCAAAATCAATATTATTAAGCTACCAACTCTATAATAAAATGTTGAAAAGAAAATAATATATTTAACATCAATGGTTGGTATTTGTCTACTCCTAAAAGCAAATAAGTGTTATAATATTTTTTTAATCTATTCATGATTTGTCCCAGCTCTGTGTATGCATGTGTGGCGAGTGCATATGCGCTTGAAAGTGACACTAAGAAAATATATTTTCAATTAGTAAAATAAAGCCCCTCTTTTTGTTTGTTTTTGTTTGAAGGCTAAGAAGGAGGTGGCAGACGTCTCGAATGACAGGAAAAATTATATTAAGGGTTTAGTGGTGAAGGTCTAAGCCATACCTTGCATACATCAATTTATGGCAACATTATCATTATCTTAATGCTGGTGGCAGTCACTTAACCACATGGTCTTAAAACCAAACTAATAACATCACACTAGCATAGAGTATTCTATTAAACATATATATTTTTGTTTTATTTTGTTTAAGTACATTATTAATTTATGGACATTAAACATTCCTACTTATATTAGTGAATTTTATATTAACTTTTACATTGTACTGAATTTGAATCATTCTGTATAGATAATTTGTAATATGTCCAAGTGTACTACTAAATAAAGTTGACTTGTTGTTAAAATTGCAATTTTTTAAATTATTTTTAAATAACAATTTTTTAACTATCATATTTTCTAATAAAACTCAATATCATAATTATCTGGGACAAATCATGAATATTTTCTTCCCGTCGAAGCCTGATTTTTTAAAATATATTTATATATAATAAAAAATATATATTTTATAACGCCTTAAGTCTAAATAAATATTATTGTGATATTTCTTAATATTTATCATTAACTACACCAATAATTTAGGCAAAAGTTATGTATATTTTATCAGTTATCCTACCATAATTATTGTTATTATTTAAAAGAGTTAATTTTTAACTTTATCTATTTATGTAAGATTCAAAACACCTAATGGTGTTGGTTTTATTTTATTTTATTTTTTTTTTTTTTGTGAATATATTTTGATCCAAAATTAATTATTGATATTTTTAGCTCAAAGTTACTAACTAATCAATTTGTTACTTTTTGATTTATTAAAAGATTTACTATATAATATTTTTATTTTTTGTATTAAGTTGAATTGGAGTACTAGTTATCTTAATATCAATATCATATGATTAAAAACAAATATATTTGTTCTTTAAATTTTGAAATTATATTACATCTGTAATGAATAAACAACGTTTATTTTAAATCCCAAGCAATAGTTTGTAAATTAAAATCATTTTCTATGCATTTAATTTTGTATACACATTAGATATATCATTAATTTCCATTATTAAATCTAAATTAAAATTCATATCATTATCTTTGTAAAATTCTTATACATTCTAGTCAATTTTAAAATTTTTTTTTTTATTTTTGAGTATTCTAATATACTTGACAATCTTAAGAAAGAAGTTAAAAGTTTGATTGGTAATATCCAACTTATACAATATTTTCAGAAAATTATATGAATTCATAGAATTTTTAATTAGTTAATAACTTTTATTTGACATTTAACTCTTATCTGGCAAATTTTATTAAATCAGTCAAAGTAATCACACAAATAATTTTATTGGTTATTATATTAATTATATTAGGTAGTCAAATTGTATTAATATCTAATGTAAATTTTGTTTGGCCTGTTTATAAGTGCATTTTTTTTAAATGATGTTATGTTAAATTATTATTTATAGATTCATTCAAACAGTTATCCAATAACTAACTTTAAAAAAATAGCGTGAATGTTATTTCACTATTTTTTTTATATGAATTTAGATTATTGATAAAGTGGAAGTGAAAAACAATTAAAAGTTTTACATTAAATACAATTTATTATTTGGCGTTTTATTTTTTCATTAATCATATTACACATGAATTGGTACTTTTTTTGCTATAATTTAATTTTTCTTCTAAGTTGCAATATTTTATTTTTTTCTTTGTTGATAAATTATACTTTTGGCTTTTTATAAATTGTGTTTTGTATACAATTACAGAGGTTTAAACTGCTTGTTTTATTTCTATTAAATAATTCTAGCTAAGGTAATGTAACTAAGAATTATGGGCTATGTATCAAATAGTTTTTAATATTAAATAAACTTAAACTTTATACTTTAAATTGTTTTTTTTTAATTGAATATTCCATTAATGTCAAGAATTTATCTAGATTTAAAATTTAAAATCCGAATAATCTATAAAAAGATTTAACTCAAATATATTTTATTATTCTAAGAATTAGTATTTTTCAATAGTGAAATAAAATTGCTTCTTTTTTTTTTTTTTTTTTTTTGCTATCATCTAATCTAAACAAATTATAAAGTCTCTTTAAAAGTTGTGGGAATTAAAATTTTTTTGAGCTAAATTTAAATCAAATACATTATAGTTTTTAATTGTCTAAATAAAAGTGAAGAGAAAAGTAAAAATTAACACTAGAATTTTTTATGCAAGATACAATACAATCACGTGTGGGAATTGAGTTTAGACTTTTCTATTATAATATGGTTTTAATGAATGCAATCTAAAATTTAACCCCAGTAATGTTGTGTAGTGAGATAAGGTTGGACCGAATCAATGGTAATGTGTTTTAGGTCCATCAACTAGCAGTAATAATAGTTCTTCTACAACATCTCCTGCTCCCCATTCAAAGCGTATGTCAGCCAGAATGACGCAAAATATTCAAAATACCTCACCTGTTGTTTTATTAAATGAAAATGATGTATCTACTAGTGCTACAACTTCGACATTTTCACCTGTTTCCACGCCACACAAAGCTAATAAACCTATTCCGAGAGAAGTATGAACCACTTTTTATTTAATAATTTTAATGTACTTCTAATAATGAATATTTCTTCAGGGCTGTGGCAAAGGAAAATCAGGAGGTAATAATAAATCAATCAACCCATCACCTTATTGTGACTTTTGCCTAGGTGATTCTGTATCCAATAAATCAGGTCAACCAGAAATATTAATTTCTTGCTCAGATTGTGGTCGTTCAGGTATAACCAATTTTTAATATAAGTATTAAATTAATGTCAAAAAATTCAAATCTCTCTTGAATTTTGATATAAATCTAATTCTTGTATAGATTTAAAGAGTTGTCTAATAATTAAACTTTTCTGAAATTATACTATCAGATAAATTTGAATGCTAAAAATATGTTAAAGATAATATTTTAAACAAATGCTATTCTGACGCAATTTTTTTGTGTTTTATTATTTATGGAGAAAATGACAATATAAGTATATTTGTTTTTAAAAGCTCATAAAATCAAAAAAATTTCAGCATTAGTTTTATAGTACTACAATATTTGTCGTTATTTTATAAAACTTTTATTATACTTTTTATTAGATGAAAATTTTTATTTTATTTAGTAGCTTCTTTTGCATTCAATAACTATCTATTGAGTATATCATCATCAACCTGAATTTTAAGAAAGGCTATCATTTTTCTCTTTTGTGTGTCAAATGAAACATGTGGGCATTAGATACCATTTATGAACACACATTTTTTAAATTGAGACTTCTGATATATTTTTTTTGACTGATAATTAAAATTAAAGTTTAAATCTTAGTATGGTGCCTGAAAAAAAAGTGGTGCATTAAACTAAGCTTTTACATATAGTCAAATAATAATAATTGATATTTCCTCTTTGTTGTAACAAGATTTTGAAATAGTAATATTTTTAAACAATGTAAAGCTTTTGTTATCCATCTAGCATAATAGATAGCTTCCAAAACTTCAAAGTAATGAATCAAGTATTTTCAGTTTAATATGATGCATAAAATGTATACAATTTAAAAATAAATATAAAGGTCTAGTAGTATTCAAACTAATCTAGATTGTTTAATTTTTTAATTTACAACATGAATTTTAAGAACCACTCTAGTGGAATAGTAGACACATTCTCTGTTTATAAGCTCTCAAGTTAAGCTGCCTAGATTATTATTAACATAGAGTAAGAATAAAAATTTTAATTAAAACTTCATAATATTTTTAATGTTCATCAATCCAGTGCTCTTTATACAGAAAGTAATAAAAATACATCCCATCTAAATTTTTACAATATAGTCAATCTAAAATTTTAATTTTGGCTAAAATTTGTGATGGTGTCACGTTTTCATAATCGTGAGAATTATTTTAATAAAATACAGACAGCACATCCGCTGCCTGAGACTGGTGAATTAACAAATAATATTTATTGCCAAATCGGCAATAGGTGTAATTATTATAAAAACCCAATAGACCTGACCATCGTGGTCAGTCGACTCCAGTGCCTTGTGTCATTCATCAGTCTCAGTACTCGGTTGTCGCTGTCCGGCATACTGTTTAAAGTAAAGTCTTTGTTTATTCCTTTTCTAACCTACATACTCTTTTCCTCGACATTTCAGAGTACTTGTGTCTTACACTTCGTCTGCACCTCGTACTCTGTTATCTTTCCTCACCTGGTACGCCTAGTATTTGTGTCTTGCACTTCGTCTGCACCTTATACTCGGCTACCCCGTTCTCTCTTTGAAGTACTTGTGTCTTGCACTTCGTCTGCACCTCATACCTAGGTGTTACTCTTATTCTCCCTTCCTATAACAACAGCCTTTCGACACCCACAGCTAACCCGGAGTGTCAGCCGAGCACGGTGACTGCTGTACGACAACACGCACGTGAATACCTAGACAGCAGGCACCACCTCCTCATATTCATCTTCATAGTTACACTTTCACTCTTTTACCTTTTTATCATTCTCTTTACTGTGTTACGACATGTTAAAACAATATTCTGGGTGTTCAAAGTACAAAAAATATTAAGAGTAACCATAAAAAGTAATATTTATCAATGTTATTTTTCAGGGCATCCTACTTGTCTTCAGTTTACGGCCAATATGATAATTTCAGTTGGTAAATATCGCTGGCAATGTATTGAATGTAAATGTTGTTCTATTTGTGGAACATCAGATAATGATGTATGTAGCTTAACTACGATAATTTCTTTTTAAATTAAAGTTAATTAAAAAAAAAAATTGTTTTTATTTTAGGATCAACTATTGTTTTGTGATGATTGTGATCGTGGTTATCATGTATACTGTTTGACACCACCTCTTACTTCTCCACCAGAAGGTTGCTGGAGTTGCCAGTTGTGTGTAAAAGAGTTTCACTCAAATTAAGTTTTATTATTAATATTTACTTTAAGTAACATACCATAATATAATCCTATTTCTACCAATGGTTATGAAATTATCTTAGGAGCACTAACCAAAAATTGTTAGTAAGATACATTTTTTATATGTTTAAATGAGCCATGGATGTAGATTTTTAGGGGTATTCAGTATTATAATATATTTTAGTGTAACTTTTTTGTACTTTTTTTAACTTTTGATTTGCCAAATTTTGCTTCTATGTATGCAGTATTGTAATTGTTAATTTTTATCTATTTGAATTATTAAGAAAAATTTTGACATAAAACAATTTTTTTTTATTATTATTGTATTAGTGTAATTTTTTTGTTTATTACAAACTTTTCATGTTATATTTATAGACGTGTGATGTGTGTTTTACTGATTTTTTAATTAAATTTTAAATAATCTAAAAAATCTTAATCTGTTAGACTATTGTGAACCTGATAATAGTTTTTAATAATTGATTTTACAGAAACCTGGATAAACATTGATTAATGAAAAATTTTTCATGATATATTTATTTTTTGGTAAAACATTAACAATGATTACATAATATTTAACATAACACAACATGTATTATATTCTTTAATAGGAGCCTCATCATATAAAAATGCTTTTATAGGTAATCGTACTTCATCTTAAACATTTTTTTCAATAAAATAGAAAATCAAATTTAAAACTTATATTTATAAAATTCTCTATATATTTTTTAATAAATAATATTAACATAATACAAATACAATTTTTGCATTATAAAAATTAAATATAGTATAGTTAACTCTTATATGAGATATCTTTTAAACCATAACATTTTTGATTTGTTTTAACTTACACATTATTTTTTAAATTTGCTATAAATTTAATAAATTTCAAAACTTGAAAAATAATAAAAACGTGTTATTTTTAGTTTCTGGCTGATTTATTTACTTTGTCATATAATTCTGGTAGATTATACTCACAATTAAGTTTCTGTCTAAGCTTATTGTATAAATTATGATTAAACATTAACTTGAATTCGTTCAAAGTCAAATTGGTCGAATTGTATAACATTTTATATCTAAATAAGTTTTGAAAAAAAAAATAATTTTTTGTTAAAATTTTATAAAATTATCTTACCCTTTAAGTTTTATTAATGAAAGCTCTAGATTTCTACTGGTGGTATTGGAGTTGAATTCGTGTACATTAGTAAAACCATACAATCCAACATCAACATACATTTTTTCTTCATTTGAATGTGAATGTATCAGCCCATTTCCAGGGCGTAAAATTACTGGGCATATCCAAATAGGGAATATCTATAATTACTTAAAAATATTATATTTTAAAGTATATTATGTCATGTAAATTTTGACCATACATTTAGATTATTTTTGGTAAGCTTTATTGTTTCAGCTATACTTGACAATGGAACTATGAAGTCATCAACAAAATGCTTTTTCCTGTATATTCTCTTGATTATATCAGTTTGAGTTAGTTTAAGTAGTGATATTTTTGGTGGCATTGACCATCCCAACAAAACACGAAAAATCGGATGGTTACTAAATGGTATTATGTCCTTTAAAAATAGGCACGTACATTTTATTAATTTTTAATCATTAACTTAATATGGAGTTTTTCTATACAATTATTACCATTAATAACTTAATTTATTTAGAAATAAACATTTATTAAAACCATAGTAAAGCACCAAGTCCGGTGCTCTTTAGCTTTTTAATACATGTAAGTTAAATTGTGTGATATATGGGCTTCCAAACGACGAGACTTTAGCTTCGTCTCAGGACTACGTGCTAAGTCGTATCCATTATGGACTTAGTGTAGAGGAGTCAGGATGGTTGGTCTCTAGTCTAGGTGTTTACGGAATCCGTTCTGGAAAGGAAGGAGAATGTGAAACTTCAAAGACAAAAACAGCCCCAGATCTCGTGGCAGGGAGACATAAGGCGCTGGTTAAATCCGGTACCTTAAGGAAGAGAAAGATCATCCCAACCAGTCCTGAAGTAATACTTAACGGCAATTTCGGGACACACTAAGTCGCAGAAGAAAAAAAAAACCATTTACCTTTATCTGCCAAAAAAGACAGCTTTCATGTCTAAAATAATAATCCTGCAGTGGAATGAATTCTTTTTTTTCGTTAGTTTCGAGAAATGATTCGACATATTTAAAAAACCATGGTTTATAGAACCTTCCTATTTTGTTAATAACAATTCCCTGTAAATAAATGTAATAATATTTTTAAAGAAAATAAAAGAAAGTCTTTGTGTGTTAAATAAGTGACTAGTTGAAATGATATTAAAGCATAATTATTATAAAAAAATTTTGCGCTTTAGCGTTTAAGGAACAAGTATTCCGTTTAATAAATATAATTATTATTTAAGCTCTCCATATTAAGTTTCAACGTATCTTTTTGGTAATTCTTCGGTAAAAATCAGTAAAAAACCTCTTTATTTTTTTCATTGGTCATTTGTCCTGTTATCAATACACTTTCAGTTTGGCTAAACATTAAAATTTCAACAAAATCATTGTCATTTTCTACTTCGTGTGCTAAGGTTTTTTCTAACTGCTCTGTAGACCCAATAATTGGATGATACTTCAATAAAACATAATTTTTCGCTGGTATTATCTTCATTTCAACCGCAGTTAAAAATCCTAATGTACCATACGAACAAGGTATACATTCAAATAGCTCAGCATTTTCAGTCTATGACAGAAAATATAAAAAAAATAGATTAAGAATGATACTCTAGACTCTAGAGTATTAGTAAGTGCCCTAGAGTCTAAAACAAGAATAAGTTGAGGGGCACTGACATAACTTGAACTTATTTTAATGTAGAATTTATAAGAATCAGTAATTTTTTATTGTATAAGCTAATTGAACATGTAATTGGTCATTTTAAATAATATAGTCGACTCCCGTATGTAAAATGATAGTAAAAGTACTAAATGAATTCTGATAAATGGATCACTCTGTACCTTATATACCTTCGAACTACCGAAAAATCTCGATATGCTGTTCGATTAAGATAGATGATAAAAAAATGGCCCATTAGAATTATTAATTTTTTAGAACAAACTTTTAAAATTAAGTCACTAGCCAAAAATTAAATTAATTCAAAGCTATTATATCGATAAATAAATAAATTTTTTAGATTAATGGTCGGGTTAAATATACGACCATGATGTTTCGAAATTGAAAATAAAACTTTTAATTTAATTTGTTTAGCACAGTTAGACATTTGGTTCAATTCTTGGGGGGGTGCTAGAATAATTATTCTAATTAAAGTGACCCTCATTCCCTGTTATTCTTACCACGATATTTCATTACTTGCATAAATCAATAATAATTCATAATAAAATACTTTTAAAAATAATTGATATTACCTTTATTTCAACAAAATATATCTATTTTTATCAGCAACTATATTCAATATAGCATTGCTGATAACATTTTTTACAAAATCTTTTTCTATAAACACAACAGTAATATAATACTGAACCTATCTTCAATGAATTAAAGTATAATAGATAACAAGATTGATTAAAATTATTTATAATCAAATTTTATAACCGTTACTATAACATTCGGGATAATGCTTCAATTCCAGGGGGCTAAACACCCCCTTCGCGATGACAACTTGTGCTATATAAATTGATTTTTTGAAACATTTTTTATCTATATTGTGTTTAATTCACATTATGCTTTATTAAAAATTATCTTAAGACGCTCTTCTTATAAATTTCTTATGCATACATAGCATTTTTTTCACTAAACTGCTTAAACGTTCTTACCAAGAAACANATAGCATTTTTTTCACTAAACTGCATAAACGTTCTTACCAAGAAACATTGTTTTACGTTATCAAAAAATAAGTATTATAATCAAGATTGTCTCTTTTGTCGATATTTCATATCTATATTACATAACACTATATCAATAAAAATAATAATATTACATTTAGCTCACTCTTTTATTTCATTTTAATATAGAATTTCTTACTTATAAAAAAAAAACGAAATCAAGCCACACCATGTACGTAATATTTATACCACATCAAAAAAATAATACATTATTACCTTCGAACAGGTCATCAAGTCTCCATTGCCAGTTACAATTTCATAACGAGTACACACATTATGGAAAAATCCATATTTGTGGGATGATGTTTCCAATCCAGTTCCCATAATAATACCGCCTATGAAGAAATTTGTTAATAAAAATGTTTTTTCACGTGACAATTTATTACTACCTATAGTTAAATCTCTTAGATCAGCAACTATTGGCAATGTCCACCCAAAACGGATTAATTCTGGAACTAAACGACCAAAAGTAATGCCAGGTTCTACTTGAACTGTCTAAATACGTCATCAAATTAAAATATTATTTAAAAACAATATTAATTTTATTAGTAATAAATTTGTTACTAACAATTCATTTTGTTAAAATTATATCACATATAATAATATAATACTGTAATGGTTACAAAAAAACTGTCAAAACAAAGCTCAATATTTATAATAATTTATTTAAAAATTCATATTTTTCATTAGTTGACTTTAACTTTAAGTTGCTGTAACTTTTTTATTATTTAACCGCTCAATTTTTTTTTTACATATTTTTCATCAGCGTGAAAAATTAAATTAAATAAAAAAAAATTTGAAAAAGGGTGTTCTGTAAAGTAATTTTATATCGTATTTCTTTCGCCCCATCCATATTTTATAATTCGGAACAACCTGTACAACTTGTTTATAAAAATAAGTAAGGAATTTCCCATTCTAAAAGTGACTAAGCCATATTATGTCTAGGGCCGCTGCTATAAATCGGGGGGCTTTGTGCGAAACAATTTTGCAGGTTTCTTAATGTTTTTTTTTTTAAGGAATCTTTATTTAAGTTATCGACTAAGTTTACAGAGCTCTTTAAAGCGCAGTCATTCTAAATGACCAAAGATCAATTATAATAATATATAAAAATAAAAAATCATGCAAAGCTTACTTCATTTTTTACATCAATTGAGAGTACGTTGTTCAAATGGACGTCAATATTGTACATATATTTTTTGTAAAGCATATTGTCCAAGGATAAACACTTCCAGCTGGGTCTGGAAGTACACATCATAAGGTTAGGTGCCTTTTCATTTCTTCGTTTGATCTAAATAATATTCATTGTTTTTATAAATTATCAATTATATTTTGATTCGTTTTCATCCTACATACTTGTTGCTGAATTTTTTTAACGTTATCGTTGTGATGTCCACTATCGTAACGAGCTCCACCAAATGTTTCCCATATTGACCATGCCTTACCCAAAATTGTGCATGGCAATACAAATAAACATACAAACACCCATCGATAATTAAATAAAAAGTTTTCCAAAAAAATTTCAATATCCATAATAACACCTTTTAAACCAACTATTTAAAAAAAAAATCTTTTAAAATATCTGTAAAGTTTTCTGATCGTAATTTTTAAACGAATATTTTAACTTTAAAACTTTCCTTAAATCTACAAATCACTAACAGACTACCTAACAGTTATCATTCTCAGACAACAATTCAAGTATTACACTAAAACTCTTATTGAATCAGATTGAAAATATCGAACAATAACTATCGAAGTACTCGATAGTTATTCAATGACTATTCACATACTTAAGAAAATTTTCGATTATTCTATTTGAAGACTTTGATAAAATATTCAACAAGTAGAAAAAAAAATTATTTAAATAGTACACATTTCATAATAAAAGGTTTCAATAATAATTTGATCATTCCACAGTAATTAACTTATTCCAAAGTGTTAATCACTAATTCTGATACAGATTAAGTTCCTATCAGTAGAGTAGATATTGAATAGTTTGAGTTATAACTTATAACAGCTATTTGAATGTCATTGAATACTATCAATAAAGTCAAGTAGATATAATACATTATATACATTAAGTTCCATGGTATAAATATTCAGACAGATTTAACACTATCTTTTTGGTTTTTTTCTAACATTTTAAAGATGTTTGGTATTATTAACTCAATATTTTAAACTATATTTTCAACTGTATCGTAAGTACATTTAAATTTAAAACTATATATAATTAATTTTTGTTTTTATCATATAAATTTGAATACTTGTATTATAAATCATTCAATAAAAAATTCAGTTAACAATAGTGCAACTAGTGAGAAAGTTGGCAAAGTGATACTTGGGAACTCCTGAGGCATTTTTCTAATTTTTAGCATTGTATTGCTTTTATTATGTTTTTATCTCTGTTGCCTTGTGTATACAGTTTTTACTGGACCACTACTGCTCAATTATACGCCAAAGAACCTAAAAGTATCGACTCTATACTAATTTTTTAAAGGAGGTCGAAGTGTCATATAAATAACTCTTTTTAAAAACTAAAAACTGTAAATCAAAACAGACTGACCATTATAATTCACTGGAGGCTATCGTAAATGGTGTCACATCAACACCGTCACGAAAATTGCGAAATAATATTTATTTGCACAATCCAAATTATTTTTTATTATTATTACTTATTATTAAAAAATAAGTATTTACATATTAAAAAATAATTAAGAACAAAAAAAAATTGTTTAAAATTAAAACTGATTTTGATTATTAATATGTTAAACATAAAGAAAATGACATATTTAACATAGTTCAAATTTCAAAGTTATTCTTCTCAATTCAAGAGAAGCAAACAAATTTAAATAAGTTTAACTTCATAGTCTATGTCAATTAGATTTATGTAATATTTATGAAATTCAGTGTACTCACCTTGTAAAGTATTTTAAAATAAATTAAAATACAAAAATAGTAAAAAAATTGTCGCGGTCGCATCGCATTTCCAGTGTTACCGACGGATGGCGATCGCGGCGCTCCCTCTTCGCGTCCGACAGAGTGCGCTTTGCACGGTGACCAACGGGCGGTATGAACCGGTTGCTCGGGCGCTGGACAAGAAAAAATGACACAGACTGATATTTCAATTATCGTTTTTTGATCTGACACGTCGACCTTTACTAAGGAACGGAAGATATCTTTTATTAATTTACTTAACTGTGTAATTAAGATTATTGTTTCGTTGTGTAATAAAAACGCTATTGCTTTATTAATTATTATTATTATATTTACTACTCTGTTTTCATCAAAATGTCTTCTCAGCTAAAATTGATTGGCGTTAACCAATCTAACGGTTGAAAAATATTTATACATACATAAATATATTAAACAGCAATAATAATTATTATATTAAGAAAAAAAAATTAATATTATCATGTTTTGAAAATATCTACTTGGATAACTAGAGTTCTGAAAACACTAGTTATTGACAGAGTTAAAAATACGATTTCAGTATTTCAATTTAACTTTTAGTATATATATATAATAATTCCGTCAGTTGAGTAAACAGTTAAGTTAAACATATTGTATGCTAAATACGTATACTTATACATATTAATAATAACTATATTTTTCTAATGATTAATTAATCAATTACATTAAAAAAAAAATCTTATAAATAATATTCAACATTTTTTTTAGTATTGAATTTCTTTTTAAGTTATACTTATAAAGGATTCAACTTAATATAAATAAGTGGCAAAATGAAAAACTTTTTACTTTTTATTTTTATATTGTACTTAATAACAAGCTTAAGTTATCAACAAATAAATTTACAGTGCTCCTATGTTTGTTATTTTCTAAATTTTTTTAACCATAATGAAAGATTTTTATTAGAATTCGAAAAAAAAAAAGATTATATTACAATCGAAAATATTATGACCTATGGCAAGGCACTACAAACACACGGTAAAGTAATTATGATATTTTTGGATGACTTGATAAACAAACATAGAACTATGTGTCCTTTAATTTTGATCACGATAAATATGTACTTCAATAATGTTTCTGAAACTTTAAATATGATTGCTCAAAACGATGACGGGGGGAAAAATGATGCTGAAAAATTATTAAAAGGCTATAAAATTATACATTTTACAGTTAAAGAACAACTAGAAATGAAACTTAATAAATATTGTTGTAATATACCAATTGATGATTATATGGTTAGTTGCAAACCTCCTATCAGTGAAAATGAATATACTATTACTAATTTAATCAACAAAAATAATGATCTCAAAGATAGCGTACTGACGAAGTTTAATTTATCAGAAGACAGGAATTCATACGAAATTTTCCATCCGAAAAATATTCTGTTTTACGATTTAATGACTCCACAGATTATTTACAACAAAAATAATACTATAAAAATAGATAATAGTCAACATATAGAATTAAATTTACTTCGATTTACACCACTTAAATTCTCAAACCGTACTAGCTTAACTATACAAGATGTATTTGAATATATGAAATATAATTTTTATTCTTTAGACGTTATAAAATATATCAAAATGGTAATTATAGCTTCGTTTCGACCAATAGCTATTCTTATTCGCAACTTCATAACCTTAATTCATGTTGCATCTTCAAAAAATTCAAATAGTGTGACATCTTGGATAAAAAATCATTTAATTGGCATGGGTCACATAATAATAAAATATATAAAAAAATTCGATACTCTAGGTCTGTTCAATCATAATAAGTCATTTCTGAGATACAAGATCTTAAAAAGATTTATTAAAGCCTTAAACAATTACACTAATTATAAAAAGTTATCCGAAATTGATATTGAATATAATAATAAATTAATTAAAGTACTTTCGAATTTCTTTATCAAAAACAAATTATACTTTACAACTAATATAGTTCTAAGCAATGAAAATATTAATAAAAATAATGTTGATGAAATTAAAAATCAATTAGAAAAAATAATCCAAAAAGTTGGTATCTATATGAACGATTTGCAAAAATGGAGTAACCATATTAATTTAATTAAAGACAAATGTAGTTCAATTTGGTTTTATAATAATATTAAAATTAATCATTTTATTACTTCTAAAGTTTTAGGTAAGTGTAAATACAGTTCTTTTTTTATTCTTTATATTATGCATATACAATATCTGCTATCTATTAAACAAAAAATTGTTGAGTCCCTCCTATATCAACGCTATGCTCATAATATAGGACACAAGAAAACATTTAAAATAAGATAATTGAAACAAAGTAGTTTGGCACCTGAAAATATCAATTTAGCTCTTCAAATTGTATGAAATAATTTTTACACATAATTTTTTCTAAAGATTTATATTTTTAATAGTTTAGAAATATTTCATTTCAAAATTTCTACTATCATGTTCATTTAAGCAATTATTTATATTTTGTGTACTTTTTTAATCCTTATTTTATTTATTTCAGATAGTATTTGTAGGTCTGAAACACATTCTGAAATATACAATGCTAGTACGAATGATATCAATAAAATTGATATAGGATTTTATGAAGACGTGGAAGATGATTATAATTATTATTGGAAGATTATTACAGAAATTAACTCAAAAGAGTTAAAAGATGATCATAATAAAAGTGAAAATGATATAAATGACTCTCTTAAAGATCAATCAAATAATAATCTTCTCTGTATGTTTCATTATTTGCCGTACAACGAGTAAAATGAAACTATTAAAATTTGTTTTATAATGTAAATTGTATATTGTCATACTTATTTGCAAAGATTTTATTTTTTCCTTTTTATTATGCAACATTATTCTTTTAACGCTAGTCACTCAATATCTAATTTTTTAATTCATCCATTATTCCTTATTAAGAAGTTAACTTTATTTTTAAATAACAAAATAAATATTTCATTATTTTTTAAATTAAAATATAATTTAATTGAGAAAAAATACTAGGTGATAACAACTTTTGAGCTACTATTGTTAATTATTACCATTTTATAAATATTGACTTATGGTGAGGCATATACACATATCAATATACAGAAATGCAAATTAATAATATTATATCATATTTTGAATCACTTAATGTATTTTAATTAATTAATTTACAACGGCTTCCATTTTTATATTGCCTAAAGACAAAATGTTTAATATTTACAAGAGTATTGATATTAACAAATAATTTAAAAATGCATTTATTTATTTTAAAAACCTAACCACAGTCTTATGTAAATGATTTCTATACAAAATATATAATATATATATTGAGATTTTTTACGTGTGATTATTGTAATATCTATAAAAATATAAGACATTATTTATAACATATTTTTAAAAGATTAAAAATAATAACAATTAACTAAATTACCAATAAAAATATAAGTTATTTATAAAAATAACTGGACATAATTAACTAGTTTATTTAATAAATAAACATCTAATTAAGAAATTGAATACCCAAACTGTTACTATTTATAGTTATACTATTTATGACAAACAATGTCGGAAATATGCTTACCNTACTACACAAATAATGTCGGAAATATGCTTATCTAAGCGTCTGGTAGACGATGATAACATTCATAGAAATTATAATGTCATAACGACAGATGTTGTCTTTGTTCTCATAAAATGTGTAGGCGTGAAAAAAGACAACGTTGCCATTTTTCTCATAAAATGGATACAACAATGGCCATTAATATATTGTAACATCTTTGGAAATATGCTTACCTAAGCGTCTGGCATCCGATGATAAGATTCACACGACAATAATCATTACTATGCGGCGACCTCTTTGATGTTTGAAATGTGCTGACCTAAGCGTCTGGTTACCCATGATAAATTTCTTAGAATTTATTATGCCATAACGACGGACGTTGTCTTTGTTCTTATAAAATGTAGACGGTAATGTGGATTATAATATGGCGGTACCTTTGATGTTTGAAATATGCATAGCTATGCGTCTGATAGGCAATGATAAAAATTCTTAGAAAAAGCAATTATTTTTCGTAAAATGTTGACGGTAATGTGGGATTATAATATGGCGGTTGGTTTCAAGTTAAGTTTCATTACCCCTTCGCTCATTACGACATGTTGAGGAAATCCCCCTCCCCTGACTTAGGTTAGTTTCATTGGGTTTCACACATTGTGCGCACCTCACCCCCTATTGTCTTAATAGAGTTTGTTACAAATCGTTCAAGGAATAGTCAAGTGTGGTGGCGGCGGTCGCTACTTGACGTACACTATTTCAATGTAATGTATACATTAAATGATAAACGCAGTGAAGACTCGGGGGTGCTGGTAGTGGGGGTGCGACTTTAAATGTAATACCTCTAGTTATAGGTATAAAAAAATTGTCAAATTAAATATAATAAAATAAAATGCAATACATATATTATTATTTTAAAGGCGCAGTACAAAATAATAATAATAATAGCGATTATACTATTATAACAACCGATACATAGTTAATTCTAAAAATATATTACCCATTATAGTAATTATATTAATTATATAATTAATAGTAATATACTAATATTAACGAGATGTTTTTCTAAGCATCTGGTGGTAGGCAATGATAAAATACTATGTAAAAAATAAAAATGCAGACGCCTATGAACGTTATAATATGGCGGTACCTTTGATGTTGGAAATATGCTTAGCTAAGCGTCTGGTTACCCATGATAAATTTCTTAGAATTTATAATGCCAAAACGACAGACGTTGTCTTTGTTCTAATAAAATGTAGACGGTAATGTGGATTATAATATGGCGGTTGCTTTGATGTTTGAAATATGCTTAGCTATGCGTCTGGTAGCCAATAGTAAAATTGTTATAATTTATTTATTATATACATTCTATAGATGTGCGACAAATTAGTATAAGTCTTGTTTCATCACCACCCATTATAGGTTAGTTTAATTCAAGATTCATTACCCCTTCCTATGTAGGAATTGTTAACAGACACCCCTGCGGCGTTAATATTATGCAATTGAATTACACTATTTCAATGTAATGTGTACGCTTATCAGTGAACGTTATCAGTTTCGTTATCAGTTCACATGAGGTTTACCTTACCTTCCAGTAGATGACATCGTAGGAGGAGACAACCATATGGCTACCTACCCCACCACTGACATGAAGTTATAATGCGCATGCGCACTTTTAACCGCCATTTTGATTGATCTTAACATCCCTACCTAAGTCATCTATTACCTCCACCATTGTGGTATCACGCCTCCTCCTTACCCCCACCATCATAGGACCAAACCTCCCCTTACCCCATCTATGATAAGACCACGCCTCCTCCTTTCCCCCACCATCATAAGACCACGCCTCCCTTACCCCCACCCTCCTAAATCCAGTCCTTCCTTACCACCACCATCGAAAGACCACGCCCACTGTGTGACCTTGGCATTATCCCCACCATCGAGAAACCACGCCCACTATATGACCTTGGCATTATCCCCATCATCGAGAGACCACGTCCACTATATGACCTTGACATTACCCCCCACCATCGAGAGACCACGCCCACTGTGTNCTTGACATTACCCCCCACCATCGAGAGACCACGCCCACTGTGTGACACGCCCCTCCCCCCGACCACGTCCACCCACCGGTAGGGTGGGTTGGTGAAGGGGTGAGGCGGGGGGGCCGCAGAACTCTCTATTTTACCCTACTTATAGTTTTTAAATTTAATATGAAATTGTGATGTATGCTATGATGTATGGTTCATTGTGTTGGGCGGTATTGAATTTACTATGATGTGTTTTTTTTTTTTTTGGTACCACTTTTTCTCAGCTCTCACCGAAGGGATTTTTTCAATTATACGTCAAAAGATCACAAATCGTACCTAGTCGAAGACATTACCCTCAAAAATTGAAAAAATTTCCTTCGTTCCCCGTCAATGGGGGAAACCTCCAAAAAAATTACAAATTTAAAAATCATTAATTTTTGACATTTTTTTTACTTAAAACAGCCATAACTTATCACATACTTACAGTATATTTATCAGAAAAACTCATTATTTTTTTGTTTTTTTATCGTAATAGAACACTTAAATAGAAATCATAATATCATTTCTAAGTAATATTTGGTATTTAAAAAGATTCTACAATTGAAATATCCAGAACTGAATTAATTTTAATGATTTACTTAAACTAAAAAAAAAAAAGTTATTATTTTGAATCCCTCTTGTGGGCAGGTAAAGGGTTAGATTTATAAAAATAAACCAAATGATAGAAAAGACATGCATCTAAATAAAAAAAAAAACGATAGCACAGTGGGGTCGAGGCACAGTGTGGACGAGGCATAGAGGGGACAAGTATAGATGATATCTGACAGTGATTAAAATCA